TCTCCTTGAAAGCCAACCAGCTGTCTTGGACTCCTCTCCAAGTCCATCTCCCATGGAATTCTTCCAAGCAGATCCTTGAATAGCTCAAACTCTACTTTCCTGAAGCCCAGGGCTGTGATTCTACTCTTCGCATTGTTCCCTTTTCTCAGGATCCTAAACTCCCTCATCTTGTGGTTATTGCAGCCAAGGCTATCCCCAGCTTTCACATCCCAAACCAGTACTTGCTTGTTTGTAAGTATCAGGTCCAGGGGAGTGCTCCTCTTTATCAGCTCCTTGATCGCCTGTGCCAGGAATTTATCATCAGTGCACTACAGCAACCTCTCTGCTTCCTCCCAGTCAGGCAGTCTGTGCCACCATAAGATTACCCAGAGTGGTCTGCCCTCTAATCCTAACCCATAAACTCTCAACTGACTCATCATCTGTCCAAGGACAGAGCTCCATGCATTCCTATGCAGAAAGGGCATTTCGCCCTGCTGGAGCAGGTATGCATCCATAGCAGCTCTCTGATCTTGTAAGCTAGCCCACCATGTGTCTTGCACCAAATCTCAATGAGATTTACATCTGCAGATGCACACATGCTCTTTAATTTCCCATTTGTTCCCCATGCTCTGTGCAGTAATGTACAGGCACTTCAGAGAGCTACCCAGCTGTGCTGATTTCCTAGAAAAGGTGAGAGAGACTCCTTCATCATGCTTTCCTGTAAGTGCTCCCTTATTTATGTCCATATGATTGAGGTGGTCCCCCTTCAGCACTGAATTGTCGAATTGTTGTCTACAAGGTCTCTCCTGTCCAATTCACTCTGCACTTTTTGCTTGCAGACTTAGTCCACCACTTCCTCATTGGATTGTTGTTCATCATCTTTCCTGCTTTGTTCCTAGTTTAAAGTTCTCCTCAGCAGAGGAGAACAGACTGCCATCGCTCTGTTGGCAAAGATGCTTTTGCCTGCTTTGTATTGTATATCCTGTCTCTTCCTGTCAGTTCTTGATCTTCAAAGAGGATCCTATGGTCATAAAAAAACGTTTCCCTGTTATTGACACCAGCTGCACAACCAGATGTTGACCCACAGGATAAGCCCACTTCTACTCAAGCCCCTTCCCCTCACCAACAAGACAGAGAAAACCACCTGCCCCCTCATCCTCTTGCCCCTTGCCCCTGCAGCCATGTAGTCTTGCTTGATAGGCTCCAGGTCTCCCCTGACAATATAATTGTTGCCCATGTGGAAAAGTAGCAGGATGTAATAGTCCGGGAGATAGACAAGATTTGGCAGCCTCTCCACAATATCCTGGAATTGAGCTCTGAAAGAGCAGCAAACCTCCCTAGGCAGCAGGTCAGGTAGGCAGATGAGGGCCTCCGTCCCCCGCAGAAAGGAGTCTCTTCCCACTAATGTCATGTGCTGCTTCCTCCTGGTGCCGCTACGTGGCTCAGGCTCAGCCAGCTGAGATGCTGCGTGGGAGAGAGTTCCCAGACCCTTGCTGCTTACAGAGCACTCAGCCTGTTCTGTAATTGCAGAACTGCAGGAGGAGCAGGCCCCTGCCTCCTGCTGCTGGAAGACACAGGATTCCTGCCTTGCCATCACAGGAGTCTCCATTCCCCAACGAGATAAGCTCAGACTCAGTACAGTTGGGGATTTGGGCTCTCGAAGTTGCAGGGTCTCAGAAGAACCAGTCAATCTCCTTCTTCTTACCTCTGATGCTGCAATCTGCTGACCTCCTCCTGCAGGTCTTTTGGCAACACAGATTTGGTAAGGAGACCATCTCCCCCTGCCCCAGCCACACAGAATGAGAGGCACCAAACACTCCCAAGCATTTTGAGATATGGAGAGCTACATCTTCCCTCAGGCTCTTGATCTGAGTTGAGGCCTCTGACATTCCATGGCTAGAAACCTGGTCACAGAGGTTTCCTTTGGATCTATCCACACTTTACGAAATGGTTCAAACCAATACAGTAGTGGTAGAAGATGGAATCATAGCTCTTTCCTTTACTGTAGTGAATGAGGGCTGATGAGGCTGCTTCACCTGGCATGCTCTTTCTGTCCCCTGAGATAACAGTGTGGGCCCAGACTTTGGCCCAATCCATTCTGTCCCTCATGAACCAGTGGTTTGATGGAGGCTAAAAAAACCACTCTTGACTACTACCCAAGCATACGACACCTGAATTTTCCAGAATCCTGGCACCATACATGAAGTACACACTGACACTCCTGCCCCTAAGAGGTATGTCATCAGTGACTGTTAGAGCATGCATAGGTACTGTGGCTGATAGCTTTCTCTCCAGTTCCTCTGGGTTTTGCAGCCCTGCGAAGGCAATCAAGACATACGCAGAAGTTTCAGCCAAGCCTGTGCTTTTGCCTGGTAGAGATTGTACCCTTTTGCTGGCTCACCATAAAGTTATAAACCCTCAGGA